TATTCATTTACCTTTTTCTTACACAACTACAACCATACATTTCCACTTTATTCTCACTTTCTTAAACTCCGATCCAAGTCAATGCGGGAACAATTTTTTGGGACAAATGGAGTATATATTTACTCTTTAGTCTATATCAAAGTTTTTCATTGCGGTAGCATTGTGATTGCCGCTATTACAGCCGTTTTAATGCGTATTGCGGCCAATCGGTCTAATTTAATTGTATAGTTGAACAAAATAAGAAAATAATTAAAGTTGATGTCTTGATAATATCCGATCGATATGGCCCCGTTACGACCACATTACAGTTTTGTTGGGTTACATAGTAGATTTTCCCGTGAATTGAAACCTCACCTCTATTGCAGTCCGATGAGATTGCGCGCGCTACAGAAGGAAACCAGAATATTGCAGCCGCAATATGGTTTTATTCTTCTCCTTTGTATATTCATCTTCTAATTGTCATCATCACCATAATAATAATAATTATTATTATTATTATTATTGTTGTTGTTGTTGTTGTTGTTGTTGTTATTATTTATTATTATTATTATTATTATTATTATTATTATTATTATTATTATTATTATTATTATTATTATTATTATTATTATTATTATTATTATTATTATTATTATTATTATTATTATTATTATTATTATTATTATTATTATTATTATTATTATTATTATTATTATTATTATTATTATTATTATTATTATTATTATTATTATTATTATTATTAGGTGCAATTAAGAAATACGAACAACTAATATGTATTTTAGGTGCAATTAAGAAATACGTATACCTACTATGTATTTTAGGTGGATGTGTTTAAAAATATATGTATTTAAAGAATTGAATAAGTATTTAAAGAATACCTATTTGATGAAAATTATCTTCCTCAATTATTACTCCCCTTATCTTATGCTTATCTCATGCCTAAAGCAATACATACGAGAGACCAAATTATCCTATCAATTATTAATATGTTTATCTTATCTTATCCTTAAAAGCATTACATATGCAAGAGAAAATGTTCCCGCTCAATTATTAGTCTACTTATCTAGTATACCTAAAAACATTACATATGAGAGAGAATTTAAAATGATCCTTCCCAATTGTTAATTCATTTATCTAATACCTAAAAGCAGTATGTGAGAGAAAATTCTTCCTCTCATTTATAGTCTGCTTATCTTATACCAAAAGGCACTACATGTGATAAAGAAATATTTTCCGCTCATATTTGCCATATTGAAGTTGAAATCTACCTATTTGAAATGTCACATACTAATAATAAGAAAATAAAGAAGTATAATGTTGTAAAGAGAGAGTTGCCTCATGGTCGATCTGCATTCTCAATTGAAATTTATGATGTACATGATTGTGGATAACCAATCAAATATGTGTTTGGACGACATTGCACATATGACCACATATGACCACATGAGATAATTTTGGTAAGTTTTTCTCTGCAATGTAAACAACAATGTCAACATCTAGATGGTCCCCTTGACACTGTGGAGAAAAACTTACCAATACTGTATAAAATCATTTAAATAAGGAGAGAAAAAATTTATTTACTTTATGTGGTTATCTCTTATGCCACGTGTGCACCGTGCACATTGTACTATTGGAGATGCTCTAACAATTGGGTGGATGCATTTTCTCTCTCATATGTATTGCTTATACTTTATGGTTTTAGCTCATTGTCCTCTTGTTTTAATATTTAACTAGATAATGATTAAATATATAAATAACAACTACTAATTTTCGTGCGTATTAAATAATTTTAGTGTTAGCAATTTGATGACAAAAAGTTTATTCATACATTGGAACCGATCAATACCATTATGAAATTGAATTTGTTCAGTTTGTGGTGGAACATACGGTTCAGGTATGCTCACACTATGACTTGATTTTTGAAGGTTGACTTTGGTTTTTATAACATTTGTATGTAAAAATTAAAATAAACATAAAGATGATGATAAAAAAAAGTAATTTTCAAGTATCATATTTTTTTTACTAATTTAATGGATCAAGTGACATTTAAAAATCATGAGCCTATTTTATATTGACAAAACTGACATATATTGGACATATTCTTCATTTAGAATGTTATTTAGAGTCTGTTTGGTAACATAGAAAAATTTTCTGAATCTATCGTAATTGATGACGTTCTGGTTGAATTTACAGAGTTATGGAGAAAGTAGATCTTAAAATGTATTTTATTAATAAAAATAAAGAAAAATTTATATGAAGAAATAGGTAAAAAAAATTCTACAATAACTTTAGTCAATTATCCATTAAGCTTGTTTTACTCATATAACCAGCATTAGGAATTATATAATTATTTAATACATAATAATATGTATCGAGGTTTGAAAATATGAAGATTTTATTTATTAAACTTGCAATTTCTTTCTTCTAACATTTATGTGTGCAATATTGATGTCATATGAAAGAGCATAAAAATGATGGATTTTGATATATTTTTTTATGAAAATTAGAGAAAAATGAAAAAGTTACAACAATTTAAAGAAAATGGTACTATCGTATTTTTTATATGTGATGAGACCCATTAATTAATGCTTAATATATACATGCGAAGTTTAAGGCACATCATATGTTCCTTTGCTTTGACGAAACCACATGGCATTAGAATAGCAAAGGAGAGAAATTAGGATTGAGAGACACGTATGCTTATGTAGGGATAAAATGGTCTTTGGATGAACTATTTCCTTTGTTATATATATAATAATAAATGAACTATTTCCTTTCTTATAGAAAAAATGGCCCGGTTATGACCCCTAGGCTTTTACATTAAAAAAATATGACCAACTCTATTTTTTCCCCAAAAGTGACCCGTGCGCCCACTTTTCACGCCAATCTCACTTGCGTACATCTCCTCTCCGCCCACTCAACCGCAAACATCTCCTCAAGCTCAGCCATGGCAGCCACCCCAGCCACCTTTCACCGCCGTCTCCATCGCTGCAGATTAAAGGTGAGTCTCTCTTTCTCTTCCTCCTTCTACCCGATGGCCTGCACATCTCTCTGGTTTCTTCAAAATTGGCGATGACGGTGGATTCCAGTCCATGCTGAGATTGCTAGGGTTCAAGATGGCGGAGATGGCTTCAATACGGTGGCTAGGGTTTCAATTTCAGCTATGGCGGCGATGTTTGCGTTTTATTTGATGGTTGCTCCTCAAGTTTTGGGCGACGGTTAGGGTTGGAGGTGCAGTGGGTGAAGGTGGTGCAGGGGGCTGGACGGTGCTGGAACAGGGGGCTAGGTGGCGGTATTGGCAGTTGGCACTAAACGGGTTGCTAGGGAGGGGGCTGGGGAGGTGACTGAGGGAGGGGCGGTGGTCGCCGGCGGCAGTCTGCGGTGATGGTAGGCGGTGGGGCTAGGGCGGGGTAGGCTAGGGACGGGGCTGAGGGAGCAGGGGAGGGATGGGGCAGGGGACACCGGAGAGGACGTGTGTGGTGGGCAGTCACTGTGGCCGGCGGATAGTCACTTTGGCCGGCGGGCAGTCACTGTGACATGTTTCAAGGGCCGGTGACAACCGAAAGTGACACGAAGACCATTAGGGACATTCAAAAGTGACATAAAAATTTGAAAGTGGCATGAAAATCTGACAGTGACATAATGTTTTCCAAATATATGAAAATCTATAGTGATAGGACGGTGGTTATAGTGATACGGGCGGTGGCTACAGTGACACGGGTGGTGGCCACAGTGACACGAGCGGTGGTTATAGTGACACAGGCGGTGGCCGCAGTGACACGGGTGGTGGCCGCAGTGAAACGGGCGGTGGCCGCAGTGACCCGGGTGGTGGTTGTAGTGACATGGGTGGTGGGTGTAGTTACAAAAAAACGAACACGCAGTGACATAAAATTTTTGTAGTTACATCATGTTTTCTAATTGCACATATATGACATTCTTGATCACTTTTCTGCTCCTTTTTAAAAGTGATCACTTTTTAGGTAATTGGTTCAAAATTAGTAATATCCAAGTAAAAACCCCTGGCTTATACTACGTATATAATAAATAGATTTTTTAATATAAGAGTTTTAATATAATACTATCGTATCTCTTAGCGAGTAAGGTTGTGACACGTCACCCTTTCAAATATGTTAATTCTAATGTTGCAATGAACATTTATTGAACCTTAAAGTTGTTTTTGTATTGAAGTAAATGTAAGCCGAAGAAAATTGTTGTAATCATAATCGAATTAAATAATAAACAAATACCGAGTATATAAAATAAATTTGTAAATATAAAGATTTGTTTGGAAAAATAAAAATTAATTGGATCTGTTAAAATGAGTGAAACTCTTGCTCAATCGATACTATGAAAAAAATTATATTCAATAATATATTTTATTAAAAAATATATGAAAATAGTTAAATACTACATAGTAATTTTAATAAAATCAACTAATTTAATTAGATTATTAATTGGGGAAAATAATTATATGTTACCAAAATTTGTAAAATTACACCTCAAAATTTCATAGTAATTTTTATACACCCTAAACTTTATATAAAAAGTTATTTTAGTACCATCACCATACTTTTTTCAAATAAGTTAATTTATTGTGTTAATTGCATAATTTAAAATAGCAAATTAAAAACTGTTGCAATTATATAGAGTGGGGGTGATATTATTTATTTTACAATGGAAGTTTAGAATGTTAATTGTATCTCCATGAATGCTAAAGTATTTAAAATTATGGAATGAACACAAAAAATTACGAGTAACATTTTTAAAAGAAATAATACACGATCATGATAATAAAATAACTTTTTATATAACGTCTGAGATATATAAATTATATATACAAGTTTGGAGTGATTACCTCACACCCATTCAAAGTTTGAACTATTTTAATTATTTTACTCTTATTAATTTCAACTTAATTAATTTTTACTATAACATCTTGCCATCATTTAGTGTACAAAATCCTGATAAAAACTTAAAATTCAAATTGACATTATACTTCACATAATTTCTCGTCATTTTTTTTCGTCATTGTTTTGCTGCTTAAGGAGTTACGAGTTTTGAGACAAACACTTCCTCGTGTTTCCATAGAAATTCCTGTTCTTTTCCCAATTAAATTTTCAGTTCATCACAGTAGCAGAAAAAAGGTTCATTTCCGTTTCTGTATACTTTTCTAGTTTTCTCCTTCCTTTTTCATCTCGATCGATATAATCGCGCACGCTCACATCAATTACTTCGTTTTCTATTCCTCGGAAGCTTTGAATTCTTCCGTGCCGGTGATCGCTGCCGATCCTATATCACACTGGTATGCTACAAGTGCCTCATTCTTTTGCTAAACCGTGCGGCACGAATTGATCGCTGATTACATGGCTTCAAGCCCTATGATAAGCTCTATGCTTCTATTAGTTCCTTTACAATCAAGTGAAATTTAGTTTGATTTGAAACTGATGCAATTTTCAGTTTGTGCTCAGTCTTTCTTAATTGCTTAGTTTGTCTGCAATTACTTTTCTCTAGCTATTGGTTAATTTGGTTTGCTTGTATTTTACGAATGATATGGTGCATATACGTGAATTATTAATGTGGAAATGAATTTTTCTGTCCTTATGGTACCTTTCTCAATTGTTTTTACTTTTTAGGTGCTTGTATTTGTAAAGATCACTGTAATATTCAGATGGAACTATATCATGTTTACACATTACTGTTTCAGTTTTTGAGTTGGCATTGATTGTTGGGGAGTGGTGTTGGTGGGGGAGGGTGGGGTGAAGGGCAGTTGGTTTTTGGTGTACTGAATGAGATTTCTTTCATTTGATATAAATCATATAAATGATTGTCATGACTAATGATTTGTTCCATAGTATATTGTATTCTAGCATAAAATAAAAACTTCTTTTACTTTTGGATGTAGTTGCATTTTATGAGCTGTTAGCTGTGACTCTGTGAGGATAGATGTCAGTTGCAAAATTAAGCACTTTTAGTACTCTGGATGCTTCAAGATCAGATGAGGGGAATGATTCACTTGACACCTTACTGAGGCAAGCTATAGGAAAGCAACCTGTCCATACTTTCTCAAGATTGGATGACAACCCAGCACAGTGGGTTCAATTACTTCATGGCTATCAACCAGGTAAAATATAACTTGCAAAATAATTCATACTATTATAGGATTTTCTTTAAACTCAGTCAAGTTGCAGGAAGATAAAATGGTGTGTAAAAATCGATTTTATTGGAAAAATTTTGTTTCAGACTTTCAGTCAAATGATTCCATCTTTTAAAAGGGAAAGCATTTTCTAAAGAATTGCAAGGAGTCCAGGAAAATATTCCACCCTTCCGGAAAATGGTTTTCACCTAATTACATGAATTTATTCTCTTTACTTTCTAGTACTGTATGACTGCACACCCTACACAAGTTTAGCTGATAACTTGATATAACTACCGTTTGTCACTGAATAAAAACAAATTACCTTATGTATGCCCTTGCATGGGGATAAGGAATTGTTCTGTATCAATCACATTACAAATTTATTTAACGTGTCCAGTCGTGGCTTGTACTGAAAGAGTTTGAGCGTGAGGTGTATGCAGAAAAACTGGAAGAGAAGCACGTACGATATTAGACCTAGAGATTGATCGGTGGCTCTTGCTTTCTTGTAGATATTCCAGGTTGGCCTTTGTTGACAACATGGAAAACTCAGATGCAGAAGTGTGAGAAATGTTCCAGGGAGTTTTGTTCACCTGTAAATTACCGCAGACATATTCGCTTGCATCGCCGATCCTTAAATTTTGACAAGGTCCTCAATTTATTGTCAATCCAGCTATGTAGTCCCAGTGATGGGCTCAATCTATTTTTTTTTATTTGGTGGTGGTTTAGGTTTTTTGTTGCTCTCAGGGATTTTTCTTTAGCTCTAGATTCATGTTGGCGTTCTTTGTTGCTTATACTCTGTCAATTAATGTGTAAAAGTAATAACCCTCTTTTTACTTAGAGACTCAATCATTTCTTTTCCAATAATCATGACAGTGCCATAGCATTGCATCACACGTGAATAGAAAGAATTCTGAAGTAACATATTTTTCTACTTAAATACAATGTCTTTGCATATCTGATACGACATTTACTTGTCCATGTGTACACAACTACATATGTACATAAGCATGATACAAGCAAAGTAGCATCACTTGGGGTGGTTACACACTCAACCCCCACTTATTACTACCCAATTGAAAAGGTAAAAGTGGAATGTGGATATGATTGTAAATACATTGCATGGAAGGAAAAGAGTGACTGGAGTACTTGTCCATGTGTACACAACTACATATGTACATAAGCATGATACAAGCAAAGTAGCATCACTTGGGGTGGTTACACACTCAACCCCCACTTATTACTACCCAATTGAAAAGGTAAAAGTGGAATGTGGATATGATTGTAAATACATTGCATGGAAGGAAAAGAGTGACTGGAGTTGCATGCACTGCTAAGTGTGAACTCCGAGTTCTGTCCATTATGAACTCTATAGTCTGGGCTATTTGGTGTTTCTTGAATTAACACGGTTTTCAATGATTAACAAAGCCTTACATATTCAAATTTCCAGGACTCTCGAAAGTTAAGGGGTTTATTGGGCGCATTCTGGGACAAGGTAATTAGTGTATTTGTCTGAATATTTCTTGTGCAAGCAAACTGTTAGTTTCAGAAATATACATATTCATGCCCTTCGCATGCAGCTTACTTTGGAAGAAGTTAAAGAAGTTGTATCATTGAATGACATCTCGCTCAAGGTAAAACCAAACTTCTCTGCCATATACTATGCAATTGCATGTTACCCCCAATCACCACGTTAGACATGTATAGAGAATGTAACAAAATAAGGACTCTTTCCAGGAAATTCAGGGGACTTCACTTGTCAAGGACCTGTCAGAGTCCCTCTGCGGACCACGGGTTTGGACTCTTCCACCAGTTTTTGTCAAAGCAGGCTCTACATTATTGGTAGGGTTACAGCTAATAAATGACTTTTCTGCCAATCCCATTTAGAGCCCGTTTAGTAAGCATTTAAAGGGCCAAGTGGCTGAATCTGCCAATGTCATAGATTCAATGGCTGAACCAACTGAATTATCTAAAATATTTACTCTGTATTAATACATATGTTTAAAAATATTGAAGAAAATATCTAAACATGGATATTTTCTGCCCTCGGAAAAATAAGAATGTTAGCCACTACCTTTTTCATTGCAAGCCGATGAAGTGAAATAAGTCAGTGTTGTGTGAAATTCTGGCCGAAAAGCCGAAACAATTGCCTAACAAATGGGCACTTATTTTTGTTCCTTTTTTTCCTGCATCTATGCATACTGAGCAAGGATCATTTGCAGGATATCATCCAAGCAAAACCTTGTGGGCTTCCAGCTTCATCCAATGAGTTATTTAGCATCCTTGATGATGCTAGTGAAAAAACATTTTTATGTGCTGGCACGGCAGAAACAGTGCAAAAATATGTTTTTGACGGCGGTGCTACAAAATTTGGCCTTGAGCTGAAGAACTTAATTGCATGCACTTGCTTTCTTTTTGAGCAGAAACTGGTACCGTTCCCTCACTTTTCGTCTTAGCCACGCATGTTTTATGTTAACAACTGCTATTGTTTATGCATTCTTAGAAACTGTTTGCATTATCCTGTCACTTGAGGACTTCCATTTATTTGAATCAGTTCAGGCACATGTATTCAGAGAATATAGATGACACCAATGAGAAACATGATATATATCACTCTCTCATTCATTTTGAAGCACGAAGAATTAGTGTTTGCAAAGAGCGGTCACTTTAAGTAGTTTCTCATTTTCCACCATTACCCTTCTCCATCTATAATGTTCATACCTCCATCCCAAGAAAAAGAGACCTGTTCCAAACAGTTTTTGTCCCAAAAGAGTCTGTTTTGAGCAAATGAAACTATTGTTAAAATACTAGCTCTGCCCCTTTTAGTTAGCCATCATGGCATCATTGACTGAACAAGTAAAAGATGACTAACTAAAAAGAGACAGCGGGAGTATATGACTTTTAACTTCGACTTCATATATCAATTCATGTTAGCGGTCCCAAACTCTTCTGGGACGTGGATATTGTTCTATTGATTGAATATGACTAGGTTATCGGTGTACTAAGGTATATTTTATATTTAAAAACTGTATTAGGGATACTAATAGTCATATTATACGTAGTATTATTTTTACCTAGACTTTAGAAAAGTTACTCCCTCCGTCCCGAATAGGTTTGCCAAATTTCCTTTTTTGGATGTCCCAAAAAGATTTGTCATTTCCATTTAAAGTAAGGAAATAAAATAAGGAATATGTGGCTAAAGTTAATTCTCTCTCCTCTACACAAATTCCAACCACACAGTTTTTACTTTATTAATCCATGTGAAAGTCAAAGTTGGCGAACCTTTTCGGGATGGAGGGAGTATTATTTTCTGATTGTGTGTACGTAAAACAAGTCATTTGAGAACATGGGGGGTGCGTAATTGTAGCAGGGCTTAAAAGTGAACATAAGATTTTTTTTGAAATGTTGACAATATGCGCATCCAAAGTATTGTGAATTTTTAATCAATTTTGTGCTGGAAAAAAACTATAGCAAGGTTGGAATTGATGTTTTTTAAATTTAAGCTCATTGGCAAATTTTACATTTTACACTTATATTTATGGTCAGATGAAAGCATGGCTTGCTGACAAAGATGCAGAGGCTTTGAGATGTCAGAAGTTGCTTGTGGAGGAGGAAGAAGCTGATATGAGAAGGTATGGCGGTGTACTTGGTCAAATGCAAGCTTAATCTCACCCCAATTTTTTTAACAATTCTTTTGTCTTTATTCTTCATACTCTCTCCGTTCTTATATATCTTTTATCTTCATTGACCTAGTCACAGTTTTTTGGAAAACTTCTGTTGTTTTTTATGGTGCACTTCATACTCCTCCCGGTCCTACTTATCTATATCATAATTGATCAAGTCAAACAAAGCTGATTAAACTTGTCAGATGATTAAACTGTCAGATGATTTATAACTTTACCTTATGTGCGCTAATGTAATACGAGATAATTACTTCTACTTCCTTCGGCCCAAAAAAAGTTTTCCAGGTTTGACCAGCATGGAGATAAGAAATTGAAAACTATGCAGTTGAAATTAATTTAGGACAAACAAAAACATAAACAACAAAATTCTTTCCTTAGGAAACGAGAAGCTTACCTTGGAATAGACAACAGTGGAAAGTGCAAAAAGGTTTGAGAAGGGGAGTATCATTTTAATTACTCTCATATTTTGTTTTAACCCGGTGGCCAACAAAATTCCGGGTAGGAATTTGGGGTAGGGGCCGGGGTACACCCCACCAGTTTATTGAAAGAAAAAATTTAAACAAAGTAGGAGGGCCAAACCAAAGCCTTATTTCAGAAATTATAGAACTTACAGATAGCTAACCGCATCAAACTTATGGATTCGAACAAAATGATTAAAGTGATGATGGGAGTTGGTTATTAATTGAAACACTACGGTGAGCTAAATATTCAGCATTGAGGAATGTGCTCCATCTTCCAATTAAAATCCTTTATCTTTTGCCTGATATTGCCTATATTTGGCCAAACCTGTGTTGCACTTAGTGTCCAAGAAGACCCTCATAGACGTTCCAATTAGTCGCATAAAGGATAAGGGTAAATTTTGGAAAACAATATTTGATGCTCATAGGTTCCATGAAGACATAAAAGGAACACTCAAATTTGCGAATGAAGATAAATGAGTAGGAACCGACTCGTAGTAATTAGCAAGCCATATTGTTCTTATGTGGATATCTTTTCGAAAAATGTTGCAGGAAAGCTAAGCTATTGGAAACGAAAAGACAAAAGAAGTTGAGACAGAAGGAACAGAAGGCAAGGGACCAAACAGATGAGGCAAAAGGGGATCTATGTGTGTCATCTGATTCTTTAGATGATCCTTTAATGGAAGAAATACCCAGACCTCCAGCACCATCTGATGAAACCTTGTGCTTTGGAATCGTTTGCTCCTCAAATGAAGGTCAGGATATTGAAGCACAAAATTCACTAGATGAGCATATTGTAAATGAAGGTCAAAATGGCGAACCCAAACTGTTGCAAGAAAACAGTCAAAGGCCACCTGCCAAACATGGTCCTATAAATGGGGGGCCTGTAGTGAACAACTACAAGGTATGGACAAGGAAAATTAGAGTGGCAAACAATGAGAGCTTTAGGGATTTGGTACAGAAAAATGGAGTAAGCCGAAACCCAAGTGACTGTGACGTGATGATTGGATCTATATCTGTGCCTATGAGAAATTGTACTCAACAAGATTCGGTACATAAGAAACATAATGTTAATGGCCCCACTAAGCTTTGGAGGCCTGTGAGTAGGCATGACAAGGGGAGACAATATGGAGATTTACTGAAGAAAGTTCATGATCAAACTCTATCCAATAAAGCATTTCTGAATTCACCAGAGAGCAATACACATGCAGAAGGGTCCTTACCATTCTGCGGTAGCGTCGCGAGAGATTTTCTTGCTCAGAGTATGTGCTTATTTATACTTTTTCCCCTCTACTTGCTAATTTGTTACTCCCTCCATTCTCAAATGACTGCCCATGAAGGAAAATTGTGGGTATTTATTTAAGGTGATATTTAATTTTCTTTAATCGACAAATATGAAATAATTTTCTCTAGGTTTTCAAAGTAACAAGCAAATGTGAAATATAAATGGGAGGGGGGGCATTTTACTGTGTCTTACTTTACAGATGTTCTAAATGGCCGGTTATATGTGAAAACAAAATGTCTTTAGTTAATAAACACCTATTTGAGAAAGGAGGAAGTATATGCTGTAACAGCCTTAGCTTTTTTACTTCAATTGGTGCTGGCTTTTTATTGAGTGTTTCAATAAAATGTAGGATGGAAAGAGGTGATGTCGGCAGATCATGTAGAATTAGTGCTGTCCTTTGCTCCTTCTGACCCTCCAGAGTGCCCCCATGACACTATAGAAGCAACGTGACTTGTGAATCTTATATTTTTTTGTGGAATTCAAAGTTCTAATCTACAAGAGGAAAGGGTGATACATAGAAGTACATTTCCAAGAATACAGAAAAACCATTTAGGTCAGTAATCAAGTTTTTAGCTTTTGGAGAAATAGGTTACCAGTCACAACTTCTGTCTCAAGTTTCGTCTTTCTTGGCACCTATCATTTTGCCTTTTTCTGATTTCAAATTTTACTGTTACAGTGTTCCTTCCTTTGTATGGGACTTTTTTACCTCCCATTTTTGCATGATAGTCTCAGAATAGATTTAGACAGCCTCAACCCATTTTTCCTTGCGTCATTTGATGCTCTCTAGCAATTAAGTTCATTGTGCATGCGACGGTTTAAGCCACTTTGCACTGTGCTCAATCTTTGTATTTGCTCACTTGTAGGCCTTGTCACGGTTACCAGATTGTTGGGTGTATTAGTGATTTGTAAAATGCTGTGAAGTAAGTTGTTCAATAATTATAGTTATCGTGTGAAAATGTGAAATGGCTTACAAGGACATGTTTAAGCAATTGTTTTTAAAATGTCATATATTTAAAAATGTGACCAATAAACTCGATACTTTTCTGTCGAAAGAAAGAGTATTTCAAGGCATTCAAGCACATATTGTGATATTGTCGCCCAAAATAGCTATTACTTCGGTTAATCGAAGCTTCCCCAATGACATTTGTCGATACATTTTAAAACTATCATAAAAACAATATTATGACCAACTCTTAAAGAATATAATAATGACATGTGATGGCAAATATCAGTGTTTGTTGTACAAGAGTAGTAGATGACTATAAACTCCTTATAAACACAAACTATGTATAATGAAATATTTCGTAATATACGAAGTATATTTTTAATATGTACACCTCTGTGTTAAATCATAACTATTTCAGATTGAGGTTGCATGAAGCTAATGTTAATTCTTTCATAAACCCATACTAACATTTAGGCATGGGCTCGGGACAGAACCGAGATTGTGGGACTGGATCGGGTCCTTTTTCGGGCAAAAACTGGCTACTAGACCAGGTGTATTGGGTAAGGATGGATCGAGCCTGGCCCGGTACTGTTTTGAACCGACCCGACCCGGTAGGCTGGGACCGGGCCTTGGGCCGGGACCGGTGGGGGTTTGGGGTGGGTCATGGGCTCAGCCTTTCTTGGAACCGGCCCGACCGGTCCGGGACTGGTCCAGGCCCAATTTTTTTTTTCTTTTTTTCAAAGTGTTTGGGTGGTTGGCGGGTTGGGTGTGTTGGCGGGTTGGGTTGGGTGTGTTGGCGGGGTTTGGGGGTGGGGGTAGAAATTAATTAGAAAAGCAAAAAAAAAAAAAAAAGGAACTCGGCCCGGTCTCGGTAAAATCCCGGGTCGGTACCGGGCCTTACCCAAAAAAGTTTTATCCCGGTTTGGACTGGCCCGATACCGGTCCATGCCTAGTATTGGGTACCTGGACCCGATTCAACGTTTTGCGGACCAAACCGGTCAGTCTTGGTTTTGTTCTTCTAAGGGTAATTTGTTTTTTATCATGGGAATTGAGCAAAATTATTTTTTAAAAAATAGCGGGTCCAAGACCGGGTTCGAACCGATCGGGATCCTAGAACCGGCCCAGAACTGAATTTATGCAGGTCAGACTTGGGCTTCAAAAATTAATGGCAAGGATCGAGTGTCTCTACGACTCTACCAAGAATCGAGGCTGGACCGACCCTAAAATTGATGGCATGTCTACCCGGAGCTTACCTTATATAAGAACGATCACTCATTAGTCTCATTATTACTATTAAAGGTGGTACTAAAATTTATGATATCATCCCGAATCAAATAAATCCCAACAAGAAAGAACAAAGCCACATTTAGTTGGTGGACGTTTAAGAATGTTTTTTCTTTTGAACGGTTTCCACTCCCAAATCAGACTTACATAGTTATAAAATAAATAGAGACCAGACATTACCAGACCAGATCAGCAAATTCCAGTACAAAAGAAAGCATCCTAAATTTTAGGGTCGGTCCAATCTCGATTCTAGGTAGAGATTGCTTGATCTCTGTCATTAATTTTTAAGCCCGGTCCGAACCCGCTAGTTTTTTAAAAGGGAAAATCATCAATTTGGTCCTCGTACTATCACAAAAAAGTCAATTAAGTTCTCGTACTTTTAAAAGTCAATCAAATTCTTGAACGTTTAAAAAACGTTCAATTGAGTCAAATTGTAGGTCACCCCACCACATAAGAAAGCACTCGCTGATATGGCAATCAGAAGTAACTTTGCTGATGTGATGCACACGTGAACGCCTAGTCAGTCATTTATCGATGACATGACGCACACATGGACCTAGGCCTGGACTCGGGCTGGGCGGCCCGAACCGGTTACTGTTTGAACCGGCACGACCAGGGCCCGCTGGGGTTCCGGTCTGGGCTCGGGCCCCTCAAAAGGTGAACCGGCCCGCCCGGATCGGGCCCGGTCCGGGCCAATTTATTATTTTTTTCTTTTTTCTTTTTTTGAATTTTTTTAAGTTTTTGGGTTGGGCTGAGTATTTTGGGTCATTTGAGGTGGTTTGAGTGGTTTGAGGGTGAGGGGGGAGGGTTGGGGGTTAATTAGGAAAAGACAAAAAAAATATAAATTGAACCGAGGCCCGGGCCGGTTCTAGGCCTCCCCTTTCATGAACCGAGGCCCGTCCGGGCCCAAGCCCGAACCGGCCCGAGTCCAGCCATACATGGACCACACGTGTGCACCATGTCAGCAGGTGATCTGCTAACATGGCTAGTGACCTAATAATTGACTCAATTGAGCGTTTTTTCATAATTCAAGAATTTGATTGATTTTTCAAGTATGAGGACCAAATTGACAGTTTTCCCAATACATTATTATCATTCTTCAATATCAAGTTTTCAACATAACAATGTATACATTTGTTGATATCAGAGAAAGTTGACATCGACAATTAGCGGAACAAAACGAGCTAAGTTAACTAAATGATGACATTTACATTAGAACAGAATGAATAAAATACCAAGGCCAGGATGCATTCCGAGAGACCATAAAGGAAACTTCCAGCTTGCAGCACACACGATATTTTGTGTGCCTCGTATGTGAATTTGTCCTAATGCATATATGCTGTGAATTTCACACCAAGCAATATGCATATATAGCAGTGAAGAGATCATTTTAAGTTGGGTAAAACTCATTTCAAGCAGAAGCAGAATCACATAGCTGCCATCAAACTAATAGTAGACTCCAAGTGTCACCTGGTCTGGACTTCGATTTGTATCATCGAGAGATTAGTAAAATGCTCTCAGAACATCAATTTGTCATCTCCGAGTGTGACACCTGGTCTCAGAACTTCAAAAGGAGTACAATGCTACTGTAGTATGGAATTCAGACATTTCATAACTGTCTGGTTCTCATATAATTGTCATTCATTCAAACTTTACACCTTTCCAAGTTCATCCTTAAACCTGTTATAAGTAAAAATATCTGGTATAAACCCAACATCCAGCATCTCATCCAGCAAAATTTCCCCCTCTTTCCTTTTACCCTCCATTGTAAACCCAGATATCAAAATAGTATATGCCATTGCATCAAGCTGCAATCCCTTACTGGAAGCCAAGAGCCTCAACTCATTAGCTTCACATGATTTCCCTGCACTACACATACTACTAAGTAAGCAGTTAAATGTCACACCATCGGGAACTATACATTCATTAAGCATATGTTTTAAGAACATAGATGCTTCTTCAATTTTACTTTCTTTTCTTAATCCTTCAATTAAGGTCGTACAAGCTACAGGGCTTGGAGCATTCCCCCGGCTCCACAGCTCATTAACCAACTCTAGTGCTCCCCCCACATTCCCTTCACTACACAACCTCTCTACTGTGTCAAAGTAATCAAACCCATTTGGCATTACGCCTTTTCTTGAAAAATCAATCAAGACATTGCAAGCGTTTGTGAACATCCCAATTCTACAAAGCTCATTAACCAAAATGTCACAAGTCACACTTGATATCCCATGTCCTAATTCAACCATCTCATAAGCCATCCCAATTCCCTCCTCAATCTTGCCTTCTATTAGAAACCTCTTAATCAAAGTGTTAAAAGTAACCACATTTGGTACACACCTGTGGTTTTTCATCTCCTTAAACATCTGCAAAGCCAATCCCAGCTGTGCATTTCTACAGTGCCCACTAATTAAGGTGTTAAACGTAATTAGATCGGGCTTAACACGATCATGGATCATTCTATCATAAAATCCAAGAGCCTTACCATAATTTCTAAATTTAACAAATCCGTGAATAATTATGTTATACATGGCCGCTTCAGGCTTACCGTCAATCAACCGCTTCATAGTATCAAATGCAAGCAGGGCATCATCGAATCTGCCAGATTTGCAGAACGCATTGATTGCGAAACGGAAGATTGGTTCAGTTCTAGGGCAAGAGAAGATACCGTCGGCACATGGGCAAGGGTTAGCAGCAATGAATTGGAGGAGGGGTGAGAGGGAGTCAAGGCGGTTGGAGATGGCGAGCGTACGGCACATCCATTCGAAGGTGGAGTGGTCGTGGCGGAAAGAGTCGACGGAAGCGGCATATCGGAAGAGGTGAAAGTCAAGGTGGGTGAGGGTGGGGTGATAGTGGATGTGTTTCTTGAGAAAGGAAAGAAGGTCTTTGGGAGTGAAGGAAGGTTTTAAATGAGTCTGTACGAGTCGGGTTAACTGTGTTTGTGTGGCTGCTGGAAGAGTGCCGATGGTGGTGTCAAGAACCGATAGCGGAAGGTAAGACGCCGCGGTTGGGTTGTGGGACGCGGGGACGATGACTGCCGCCGCCGCTTTTGGTAAGAGTTTTGGGAGTTTCCTGTGAGACATTTTTAATTAACACTGCTGATACTGCAGGTGTCCATTTTGAGTAGATTGAGTAATTCCTTGAGGTTTTCACTACGATACGGGCCAACCCAAATACAACAAACATCACATCCCAACACTACAATCATCGTCCACCTGACATATTTGAAACAGAATTCCATTAGTACCAGCAGAAAGTGAAGCCAATAATAATGGCATTAAAGTCAATTAGCAAATTACTTATTTAGATTCATGTAATATTAATAACAATTTGAGAAAGGGTATCTTACACAGTTGAAGAATATAACTCAGAGTATCTTACATTACCACCAAATAGTGGTCCACCAATTTTAGTTTATGGTCTTGTAATATTATGTAGAAGCCCGGTCCCTCCCTTTTTTTTGAAGCCCGGGTCTGACCCATATAAACCCGGTTCAGGGCCGGTTCCAGGAACCCTAGCAGTCCGGTCCCGAACCCGATCCCACTACTTTTTTTAAAAAGAATTGCACGGTTCCAAGGCTAAAAAAATAAATTTAACAGGCCGGGACCAAAACTCGGGCCGGGACAGACCAGTTCGGTTTCCAAAACTAAGAACCGGGACCAAGTACCCTATACACCCAGTCAGATACTCGGTCTTTGCCCGGAACTGGAAATATGGACCCAGTCCGGTCCCGCACAGTGCCATTCCCGGGTCCACCCCTAAGTGTAATATCCTTGTAATATATCCATACCTCTCAAATGCTTATTTCAGTAAGCCTTAAATACTACATACTCCCTCTGTCCCTAAATTTACTTCCATTTCGCTTTTCGAGAGTCAACTTAAATCACTCTTAAACTCTTACTTTTTGTATCAAAACTTTATGAAAATTGATTTTTTTTGCAGGCTTTGTAGCGGGTTTAATGTAGTTTCTGAATATGTAAATTTTATTTACTAAAAATAATCCGAGTTTTCACAGGGATCATTTAACTTTATCGTCGGTCAACCTTCGTAATCTGCAATTGGAACAACATTCAGGGACGGAGGGAGTATTATTTTTCTTTAATAAGTTTAGTATTACCATAGGTGGAAGCCTTTACGGCACTGGGGTAATGATAATGATGATAGATGAAGTGTAATCAAGGTTAATATTTAGATTATTATTGATGAACCATATTGTGTATGCATATTTATCTTTAGTCTGTCTTTCAAAGGCTCATGATTTAAATAACATGAATCATATCAAAACTTTGTAATAAAATATCATATTGGCATTCACTGGACTTCATGCCCAGTACTGACTGAGCTCTCCTTTCCGCATAACATCAATCATAAATTAGAGCATTAGGGTTTCATCAAATATTAGGTCTTAGGACCCTTCATTTATAATTAACACTGTCCAAATGAGCCATGAACACGACACTTATGTAAAGTTGAGTAGGTGACTTCATATAACTTGTCAACAGCAACTTATATATTGAGAACAATTTGAGAAGGATGATTGAGTAATTTCATATTCATATAGTGAGTTGTCTAAACATGCTTCAAGCACATATTGAACTTCACATTTAAAATGGGCTATTTATATGATAATTCTACGCATTTTTCCTTTTAATAAATTCATATTGGATGTTTTATTACATTAAGTGTATCTTTATTTCTCCCGCTTTTGTTGGGAAGTTAACCAACATTCTTTAACAAGATGAATCAAATTAGAATATTAGGACGTAATATCCTTAACATTCTTACTCATATGAAGCCTTCGAGTTCCAATGTCTTATAAAAACAAGATTCCTCCTAGAATTGAGAAAATTGAAGTTTTTATTTCTCGATGCAATTTACAAACTTCAGCGTCATTACTTATAGGGATCCTTCAAACCTAATGTAACCTCTAAAGATATTTTTATGCAAAATGTGCCTTGGATTATCTCTTGGTAGATTTGGAAAACCTAATCCAAATTGGTTTGGGGCAACAAGCAATGGGCTCCAACTACGGAAACCTTGATATACCAAATCAAGCTATATGCCCAGGATTGGTCAAGAAAACTCAAGAAGCTGAAAACAAACACTGATTATGATTTTCTACTTCCATAGAACTTGATTTCTATCGATTAAAAAGGTGAAATCCAGGCGATGCTGATTGAGGGGATAAAGCCACACAGCCAGCTTAAAATGAACGTAGATTGATCGTACATACCAGGAAAATCCTCAGGTGGTGCTTTTATTCCTACGGCACGATAATGTTTGGAGTGAGCGTTCCTATTCCAGCCGAATCTCCCCTGCTGAACTCAAAGCCTGCTTTGTTGCGCTGAGAAGAGGAGGACCTCATTTTATTGTCCATATTTGAGTTTTGGACCCAGACATCTCAAAGAATGTTCTAGTATTACTCAAATGCTCAATTTTTAATCAAACAAATACAAATCACACACCTCCCTCGGCTCCCTTGAATTTATACGAAGTATTTTCCACGATATTATATGAACTTTAAAGAGTATAATAGAGTAAGATATCATGAAATCAAATCCATTCAAAGTTTCTCCACAAAATTTCAATAATAAAGTTGAAACCGCTAATTTCGCCAGGCCGGCCCAGGGAAGGTGCACACAACCCATTCTCTTTAATGCTTTTTTTTTTGGAAAAATAAATATCCAATTTGATTTCAAGATAATGCAATTTATTTCTAATATATGTTCTACTAAAAAACAAATTTATTTTTACTGTATTTGTCATGGGAAATTTCCTAATGATCGAATTTGAACTATCTAGTTTAGGCCAAGCCTTCTCACACTTTCGCCCAAAATTCTACACACACTTTTCTCTTTTACTATATACATACACTTTCGCCCAAAATTCTACACACACTTTTCTCTTTAACTGAAATTTGGTATGAGTAACTAGACCTAATGAATAAGATGTTTAAAAAATTTCATCAAAAAATTCCACCAGGAACCACCCCAAATGGCGACGGCCGGAATAGTCTCCTATATAAGGACTTATTTGACCCCTTTTATGCAACTTCGAGTACCAATCTGACTCTTTACTCCTTACTTAAAGTAAAATTTTTGGAGTATAATAAAATTATGAGAGATTATTCTAAATATGACTAAAAATGTTACTTTTATAAATAGAAATAATTACTGCTACATTTTGACGGTATCACATTTTACACATGATAGTATTTCTCCGAACATGACAATAATTACTCATATTCAGAAAATAAACACATGACAGTCCTATTTTGAAATTATCCCTACAATTATCTAATAAATGTTATAAAATAAAGATGAAATTTACCTTCATATTATTTGAATTACATATTTGGACAAAAGTAACAACAGAAGTATCACAAAAGAACATTGTAAGGTAAAATCATCAATAATTGCTTTATAATCAATCTCTTCCAAGGTCTCATGGCAATGTTTAAAATTGTCAATCCATTAAGTTTTCTGAGACATAATAATAGATAATTAAGAGGCACCGGCAACCCAAAGACAATAATATAAAATGATGATTTTGTAATTAAAAGAATAAAAAGTCTTAAAGTCTAAAAAGAGGTGAAGAAACGTGTTTTTTATTGATTTAACAAAGGGAAAATTGTCAAATAGGTCCTTGAACTTTCATAAAAAGGTCAATTAAGTCCTTCTATAGGAGCTTCTATCCGACCGTCGCGATTTGGAGCAGTTTCCGGTGGAATTTTTTTATGAAACTTTTTGAGCATCTTATTCACCAAGTCTAGTTTACTCATACCAAATTTCAGCTAAAAATTCAATCAGAAACACATTCAAATTAATTCTTGAAGATAACTGCGCATTTTTGCGTTATCGAATTAATTTGAATACGCTCCCGATTAAATTTTTAGATGAAATTTGGTATGAGTAAACTAGACTTGATGAATAAGATGCTCAAAAAGTTTCATCAAAAAATTCCATTGGGAACCGCCCCAAATCGCGACGACCGGACAGAGTCTACTATAGAAGGACTTAATTGACTTTTTTATGAAAGTTCGAGGACCTATTTGACAATTTTCCCGTTTAACAAATAATTGACTTACAACTAACACTATTTAAAAATTAAAACTAAATTTATATTTTTTTTAAAACGGAGGTTCATGACTTCTTAGTTATGTTTTAAAATTCTCGAATTGTCAACAAAAATTATGATTAATTAATTGAAGTTATAAATAAAAAAGAAGTCTACTCAAATTACCTATAAAGAAAAAATCTGGGCCTAATTTTCTTTATACTTTTTTGGGGCCTAGGGCGGTTGCCCCTGCTGCCCTCCCCCTAGGACCGGCCGTGAGTACAACAAGCCTGCTGAACTCTAGCTAGAAAAACTCAACCTTTTCATCAACCATGTTGTAACACAAACAGAAACATTATCATCACAGACATTATGTTCGTGAGACGGACTTGTCTTAGCTCATGCACAATGACCCCATATGTTTCAATAGCCCGCCACTTCAGTTTCTTCATGTACAACGGCCTTTAGGGTAAAGTCTGTGCGTGGCTAAAATAATTTAACCGGGTGATGTTTTTAAAGGAAAAGCTTCTGGAAACAACCACATCCATTTCAGCCAAGTAAGTTGGAAGCTATTTATTTTAGTATAGAATAATCAGATTAAGCCGATTATGGCTACAAAACGGAGCCTAGTATATCTTTGAAATGACTGTGACGGTCATCCGTTCATGTTGGCAGTCTAAGAGTCCAGCTCCCACCATGCTCCAGTATCTTCCTTCTGCAGGAAATGATCATCACTATTTTCCCCATTAGACCAGTTCTCACTATCAATGTCAGATAATAAATAGTATTTTCTGTCTCTCTGGATCATAAGTCCATTCCAATGTTTTCAACATGTCGCGGTCCTTCCACCGACCCACAACTGCGACAGCTTCTTTCTTGGCCTTCTCCATCACTACCTCCTCCCATGAAAATGAAGCATCAGCGGTCCTCTTGAGAGCCCCTTCTCTGACATCACTAATGACCACCGTCCTCAAACACCTCGACTTTGCCTCCTCCAAAACCTCCACGAAATTCAGATCATCAGATATAAGAAGCACACAGTCTACCATCTTTTTGTCCATCATATCCAACAAATGGTCCCTTATACCAATATCTGAAGCGTCTGGTTTATTTGGAACACACTTAACCCAGAATCCGGCGCGTCTCAACTCATCCGCCAAACCGTACCCAACTTTTGGTGACAGAATGTCTCTAGATGCACTCTTAAACTTATGCATCTTTGTTGCGTATTTTGCCACCAAGTTCACCCTCCTGCTCCCTCTTGCACTCTCAATCTGATTGACCCGTTTCATATTCTCACGCTCGTGGATTTGCTTAAAATGGTTTATTAACTTCTCGTTAGCATAAAACCTCCTTCCACACACCCTACAGGTATACTCCAAGTCATTTGACATTTTACATTCTTTCCTCTTCTTCTTTACAGCAGGTGGAACATAACTGAGTGCATGTTCATTAGCATAGGCTATCATATACCTAACAAATCCAAACTGCTCTGCCGCCTTTCTTATCTTTGTAGCTGCCTCAAAAGGAGGTAACGTTCTTGGTGGTTTGTTGTTACCTAAATCCCAGAAAATCCCAATGATGCTTTGGACCTTTCTTTTGGCAAATTCTGTTGCTGAATGTGAAACATCATCAGAACCAGTTTGCGGCTTTGTCTGGAAATGAGAATGTCGAAAATATCCAACCTGCAAGGATAGAATTCTCAGTTGGTTGATCGAGCTGCCTTCTCTTAATATATAGTTTGGTTTCACACGGGTCCACATCCAGACAAAAATAATCTTCAACCCAGATAGAGATAATAGTTACATGTGCAGTTCAATCCTGCAAAGAGAATGCATAACAAGAAAGCTTTATCTCTTTAAGGGTTTATCATTGGCTGACCTTAGTGACCTAGACATTGAACTATCACTTTTAGTAAACCTCATTACATTTCTAGAAAACTAGCAAACATAACTACCCATTTAAAGCATAAACTAAGGACCTCAAATAGAAAGAGGGGTGCTCATTCTGTTAATTTGAAACAATGAAATAGACAAAGGGGTTCTCATTCTGTTAATTTGAAACAATGAAACTCAGATCGGAATTATAATTAATAGACATAGTTTTGCTTTAAAGTGAATATATACACTCAGAGCATCGATTTTTCACAACCTTTTAGGACAGATATGAACACAACAAACACATGGTGCTAAATAAGTACATTCTTGAGTCAAACAAGACCAAAATTCATTGCATAACATGATATATCATATCTGTCATATATGCAGTTCAAGACAACAATTCTAATGATCAAAGATCCACTCATCCAAGTCACTAAACAAGTTCGACTTCAAACCATTGCGGCTAACTAGAATAAGTAGTTTGTCAGCCTTCTGGATTGCACCCTCCCTAAAAAAGAATCTGCAGATGACTACAATAGGAAATTTCTGCCTTCAATCCTTTTGAAAGATCCTCATTTTTGGCTATAAATGCAGCTTTTTTTCCTTATTCTGTAGAAGCTCTGCTCTCATTTAAATAAAAAATGCTAAAAAACAACTCTGGGCATAAACGGGTTGTTCGATTAAACAGACCACATAATTCTTAACGGGTTGTTCTGACTTAAACAGACCAGACCAACAAATTACAGTCCAAGTAAAAACATCCTTAATACATCAATCACAAAGTGTCAACACCACATCAACAAATTCATTACAATCGGTTGAAATTTAGAATAGCAAAACAAAAGCAATTCAATAATTTAGCTCTCAAGGACTTCTAGAGACTTCACTTAATATTAGTTCTATTGAAGACCGACAAACCTTTGTTTAATGCTACAAGTGTAGAACATAAAATCATAAATCAACATATTTATTATAACAAAAAATATACTGATAGCGATCAATTCTTTGGTCGCACATATGCACGCAGAGGACAAAGGGGAGCAGAGATGATTAGCAATCCAAGTGGCTAAAGGAAAGATTAAGCAAGTCGTGAAAGTCAAGTATTTTAATGAGTCCTTCTTTAATTAGTATTTCATTATTAGAGTTATGTTTGAATTAGCAACTAGTTTCCTAATTGTTTTTAGGAAACCCTTAAATTCTATTTAAGGGGATCCCAGTAATTTTAATAGACAGCTTTTGGTTAATTATAAGTTCTCTTGACTAGGTCGGGGAAAATTAATTATCGCTTAAGCCTCAGTTTCATTCATCTCTTCCATACAATTAAAATAGCTTCAAATAATTCATCGTTTACCTGTGGCACTTCTCGTTCACGACCTTGGACGAGGTCATTAACTAAGGCACTTAACATATACGTAGTAATATTTATAAAAGAATAGAGTAGTAGACACATTGAGATATTGAAAACCACTTATATTGTCAATCTTACACTATAGTATCATTTCATCATCCTCGCTATCATTCGAAGGTCCATCACCGATCTTGAACATACTTGTGCGACCTTTTAAGTTAAAAAATATGGAAAATAACAACACTAAAACATCATAATGAAATTATCAAAGAATGGTGAAAAATAAATTCAATAAAAAAGATATGTAATTCAAAATCATTGATCATTACGAAATGAAAAAAATGTGTTACACAAAAAAAAAATTATTAGGTTCAAATTCAGAAGCACGCAACCAATCCTGATAACATGCAAGGGCCTCAACGGTTGTGGAGGGAGATAACTTCAGGAAGAAGTTATTATTTTCTTCCCCAAACCAAAAGCGGATTAAGAAGGAACAATAAAGACATGAAGACTCAGAATATGTCGAGCCAAAGATGAAAGAGCAACAAACATAGAAGAATTACAATTCCAAAATGGCAAAACACCGATATCATCCTTCATACTAAGTGATTTTTTATTATCTAAATAAAGGTCCAGTTCTGTCTTCCTTGCTCATACACGGGTAAAGATCTTCATCATCAGGCCCACTATTAAAATCAGATTGTAGCATCCAAGAATTAAAGCTGCTACTTGAGGTGTTCAGGCAAGATTCCCCAACTCCGGCGCATGCAGACGTGCCAAGGATGTTATCATTATAAGACACGTTATCAACCGTAAAACTAAACAACTTATCACCTATTTTCCATTCACCAAAACATAAAAGAATCTCATCGGTAAGAGAAGAACCATCCAAAACAAAAGAAATATAAAGTGGAAAATTCGATTATTCTCTTTTGTAACTTCCAAATTTAACAATCGATGAGCTGTAACATACATAAACTCATCACTTGTGTGTTCACTCCTCCAATTATCAGTTGTGAAACAAATACAACCAGGAGCACTTTTAAGCTCTTGAGAAACAATAACTTTATGAATTTTATAGTTACTCATATCATTTCTTTTAATGGTCATTTTACTAACCTTGCTGAAACTGAGATGCAATTACACTCATGAAATGCTTAAAACTCGGTGCTTCAACAAGTGTAAATAATAATGCACATGAAACAAAAAGCACATAGATAAATTCACGAATTGTAGAGTTGCAAGGTAAAGGCTAATCTAAAGACATGTTATTAACCATTTTTGTGACACGTTCTAGTTTAGAATCCCGAACTCCACCAATAATACAAAAGTTTTTCAAATGAGACATTCCACTCTTAGAATTGACAAGTTAAGATTTTCTTGCAGACATGACATCAAGCTTGAATCACCACATTATCCAAAACTTCTCTTTTCATATCATTCCACACATCGGATTTCAGTTTATATCCTTTTGAAGTGCACTTACTTGTATTACTTTGATCCCTGTCACTGATCATTGTTACTATTTCTATGTTATGGTCTTCCACGGATCTAGATAAAGTAAAGTTCAAAATTAATTAATAACTACAAAGAGAATAACAATAGTTTTAAATTTTACGCCACACTAAAAAATAGATTGACTTAAATAGCTACATGACTGTTTCTACAACAATTGTTTCAGTCAATCTATTTCTTAATATGGCATAAAATTCAATAATTGTTTTTATTCTCTTTGTAATGTTTAATTAATTTTGAGTTTTACTTTACCTAGATCAATGAAAGACCATAACATAGAAAGATAGGCAATGAACAATGAAAGAGGAGATCAAAATACAAATCAGCACACTTTGAAATAACAGAAATTGAAATTCGATGTGTGAGATGATATGAAAAGATAATTTTTGAATAATTAGGTGATTCAAACTACATGTCGTCATTGTAAGAAAATCTTACATGAATGTTTTGATAAGTTTTGTATTGTTGGTGGAGTTCGTGATGCTAATCTAGAATGTGGCACAAAAATAGTTAATAACATGTCTTTAAGTAAGCTTTTACCTAGCAACTCTGCAATACGTGAAATTATATATGTGCTTTTTGTTTCATGTGCATTACCACCATTTACAGTTGTTGAAACATTGTGTTTTAAGCATTTCATTAGTGTAATTGCACCTCAGTTTCACCATGTTAGTAACATGACCACTAAAATAGATGATGTGAGTAATTATAGAACCCATAAAGTTATTGTTGCTCAAGAGCTTGCAAACGCTCCTGATCGTATTTGTTTCAGAACTGATAATTGGAGGAGTGAACACACAAGTGATGAGTTTATGTGTGTTACAGCTCATTGGATTCATAAATTTTGGAAGTTACCAAAGAGAATAATCAAATTTGCCACTTTACTTCCTTCACTTGATGGTTCTTCTCTTGCCGATGAGATTCTTTTATGTTTTGGTGAATGGAAAATAGGTGATAAGGACATAAGGTGTTTAGTCTTACGGTTGCTAATGCATCTAATAATGATACAGTAGTAGCATCCCTTAAAAGGCACTTGTTAAGAAAAAACACATTGTTGATGAATGAAAAATTTGTTCATATCCGTTATTCTTGTCACATTATAAATTTAGTGGTTCACAGGCGGCGCTGAAACTCATTGATGACTCTGTCCTTAAGATAAGGAAAATAGTAACACATTTGAAGCATTCCATGCCAAAAAGAAAATTATGAGAGAGCTTCCGGTCAAGGTTTTGAAAGGCGAAATCAAGCCCCGAGGCGTTCGGCGGTAGCCTCACGAGGCGTAAGCCTCGAGGCGTAACGAGGCGTAAGCCTCAAAATTAATTCTCTAAAAGCGTACAACATATCAGGTAGTATAGATAATCCATAACAATAATGCAACTAAGCAAAATCACAAGTAAAAAGAACATAACAATAAAGAAATAACAACTAGCATAAAAATGAAATATAAAAAAACACTAAAATTCCAAGACAAAAAAGAAATAATTGATAATCAACTTTAATAAATAAATAAAAATAAAACCAAACTGTAATGAACTTAACTATAATTTTCCAATTAAAATGTAAATCTTAAGTCAAGTAAACTAGTAAAGTGCGCAGTATTAAACAAATAAATAAATTATTAAGCTAAATGATAGTTTTATATGATTACTTTACAGATTAAACAATAGGCTTAATAAATACATTATTGACGTTAAATGACAAACATATAAACATCAGAAAGGTTGGACGAAAATTAATACTCCGTACTATTTAATAACTTTAAATAGCTCAAAATAAAACCTTTAAATAACTAAAAAGTTAAATAAAAGAAGTTAAATAATACGGAGTAGACACTATTAAGAAATTATAGAAGTTGGGCGTGGGATATTTTATACTCTGTAATTGCTTGGACGGACCGGAAGCAACTCCTGAAGTCTCTGTACCGAGCTTCAGCAGGCTGAGCATCTCTTCTTCAAAGTCGTTGTTTCTAGTTTTTTAATATCTAGTCTCGTAGAAGAGTGAAAGACCACCGATTGGAATTTGGAAGACCTAAGGCTGTGGCTAAGTAATAAAATATCCAGGTATTTTATATTTTAGGAGAGAAAAAATTGAGGCCCCAGATATTTTTTTTAAAGGCCCAACCTTGCATAAAATTAGAGGTGAATGCCTCGTGTACGCCTTGCGCCCACAGTCCACATCAACGCCTCAACAAATTGAAGGCGTAAGCCTTGTTAGCAGAAGGCAAAACTTAAGCCTTCCAGGCTATTACCGACCGCCTTTGCGCCTCAAGTGCGTAAAGGCTAAACACCTTTTAAAACCATGCTTCCGGTACTTTTAGTTTGAATACTACCAAGAAGCTACGGTTAGACACACCTATTAGGTGGAATTCAATTTTCATTACGTTTGATCGTTTCCTTTATTTTCGAGATGCTATTCATAGCTCTGTTGGTAAGAATGCAGATTTGAAATACTATCGTCTTACCGAGGAGGAATGGGCAATGTAAGTATTTTGAAAAAGTTCTTGCTAAGTATCTTTTGATGTAATGAATGACTTTTCTGCTTCTAAGTCACCGACCTCGAATATTATTTTTGTGGGGTGTGGAAAATTCATAAATATTTGAAAAAACAGTATCATCCCCTCCCAGCACTATATCTAACATGGTGAGTGAAATGCAATTGAAATTTGAGAAAGATTGGGAAGATTACAATCTCATTCTTTCATGCATTGCTGTTTTTTATCCTCGTTTAAAGTGAGATGGTGTGGGGTTATTGTATAAGAAGTTAGTGGGGGAAGAAAGTGCTAAAAGCTTTGTGAATCAAATCAAAACTACTTTAGTTGAACTTCTAGATGAATACAAGTTTACATGTGCTGAAGTTGGGGAATATGGCCATATCACCTCAAGTAGCAAATTTGATTCTTGTATGCTACAATCTAAGTTTTATAGTGGCTCTGAAGATAAAGATCTTTACCGGTTTATGAGCATGAAAAGGAAGACAAAATTAAAATCAGAACGGGGCCTTTATTTAGATGAAAAACCACATAGTATGAAGGATTATATCAGTGTGTTGCAATTCTCGAAGTGCAATTCTTCTAGGTTTGTTGTTCTCTCATATTTGGCTAGGCCGCGCTAGGGATATTCTAAGTCATCCTATCTCTCTTGGTCCTCCTGAATCTGCTTTGAGTTTGGGGAAGAAAATAATAACTTCTCTCAGATGTTATTTATCCCCCACAACCATTGAGACCTTTGCATGTTATGAGGATTGGTTGCGTGCTGTTGGATTTGAACCTGGTATTTTTTTTACGTATAATGCATTCTTTTTCATTATGTAATGATCAATCTAATTTTGAATTGCATATCTTTTTTCTTGCATTTATTTTCTACCATTCTTTGATAATTCCATTATGATGTTTTACGTGTCCTCAAGTGTTGTTATTTTCCATATTTTCCAACTTGCAAGGTCCCGCAAGTATGTTCAAGATCGGTGATGGACCTTCAAATGATAGTGAGGATGAAGAAAATGATGAAATGATATAATAGTGTAAGATTAACAATATAAATAGTTTTCATAATCTCAATGTGCCTATTACTCTGCTTTTTATAAATATTACTCCATCTGTCCCGAAATAAACGTGTCGCTTTGACTTCACACAGATTAAGAAAATGAATTTGACTTCACACTGTAGTCTGTAGCGACACTGTTTGGCATTGTTTTGCACTGTTTGACGCTATTTGGTATAAATTTGTTTACCAAATAAGGAAGTTAAAGAAGTAGGACATTTATTTTGGGACATCAATTTTGGGAAAGTAGGATATTTATTTCGGGACGGAGCGAGTATATTTTTATTTGCTATTATTAATATGGTGATTTTCTTATTTTATGGTGTACACTTGTAGCATTAAACAAGGGAGAAATGAACGATCCAAGGTGTATCAGTCTGCCATACAAGTAATATTAAGTGAAGTTGTCTCTAAAAGTCCTTGGGAGGTGAATTGTTGCTTTTGTTTTGCTATTCTACATTTCAACCGATTGTAATTAATTTGTTAATGTTGTTTTGGAATTTGTTAATGTTGTGTTGTCGTAAACTTTGACACTTTGTGATTGCTCTACTAATTGTTGATGTTGTTTTAGAATTTTGGGTGATATTTTTTGTTGGCAGGTACATTATTTATAATTAACTGTGTAAAAAATGTTGTGATATTACTTTATAAAAGTTCTCAACTTTTTCAGCAAAACTGGAAAAAAAAAACTATTTTTTCTTGGGCTGGGCGCCCGTGGACAGCCCAGCCCACGCTGCTGGGCAGGCTCGGAAATATGATTAGGCCCGTTTGAACAGGGTCAGGCTGGGCCCGCCCACACAGATGGGCAGAAATTTTAGGAAAAGCCCGACCCGAGCCCGTTTTCGTGCAGATCTAGTTGTGGAGCAGCGGTGATGGATATAAAGTAAACCTAGCCGCTACTCCCGCTAGCTCTTTTTCTTATTTCATCTCCATTTCTTTCCTCAGCATGATAAAAGGTTTTTCATGGCAGTGTTTCCATTTAATATGATGTATTTATTTTCTATCGATGTCTAGAGTGCATTCTTCATCAGCATAGCCGATCGGGTGATAGAGCTGTTGTTTTTCTAGTCAAAAACAATTGTTCTACCTATTTTCTGAGATTTTGAAGTCGGGTAACAATACGGTGCATATGTGGTCTTGGTCATTCATCCCTTTCCAGAGCGCAATTGTTCTCCTTTCCGGTGGCTTACCAAGCTAGTGATTTGAACAAATTAGGCCCAGTCCTATAATTTAACTTAAAGTGGACTTAATCTTTTAAAAATACAGAGTAATAACAGGGAGATAATAATACAGAGTAATAATACGGAGATTCTACCATTTGTATCACACCTTGAAATTAATTAAATATACAAATTAATTATAATTGAAAACTTTCACCTAACAAAATCAACAAAGTATAATACTCAGGTTTTCTATGGGGTTCTGGTTGTATTCCACCGGTTGAGGATGCAAATCAAAACCTATACCCAGAAATGGGCGTCTACGCTCACCAAAACAAAATTTGGTAAAAATTGATAAGTTTCTTTACGAAGAAGGCTTAATTCATGTCTCTCTCGGAGCTAATGGCCAGGGGTTCAGAGCTGTTAGGTGGCAGAAACCTAAAAATCAAATGAAGCGTCATATTGATACTGCTTACTTACCTGGGAAAGCCGTGGGAGGTGCTATCCTTAGAAATCCGCAGATATTTGCTAGGTTTTTTCATCTTCAAGCTGACTCCAGTGAAGAAGCAGAACTGAGAACGATGGTGTTGGCGGCTGAGTGGATAGTAGAGGCGGGTTATGTTGACTTTCAGATTGAGACTGATGGGCAAGCTTTGATCTCCTATATTTCGAATAATGATTTCAGAGGTAGACTGGGATTTTCTTAGTTCAGAAGATGAAGGATCTGATTATTAGGAAAGGGGTGTCGGTCGATCATGTTTGGCTACAGAAATAAAACGGCCCACTCTTTAACCCAACTTCATTTAAATCAAGACAAAGATCTGCCAGACCTGGTTCGACATGTTTGGCTGAAATTATGATAGACGATCATTTTAGCTATCTTCATATAATATTTCATTTTATTTTATTTGTTAATATCAAATATTTTAAATATAATTTTTTCATTAATCAGCAATCGGCCTATACAGCCACTTCAATCGGAACTTCATAAATTTCAATAGAATCGGCTAATACAACCAATACAGCCAAATACAACCAATTTTAATGTTACTAGATCTATTTGGCTTTCCTAGCTTTAGATATGATTAATCTTGTCTTAATCCCCTCTCCATTTGTATTTCATTTTAATTTTATAAAATAACGGCAAAGGTTCCCGACAATCCGACATTTGTCTCATGTTTGCCTACCGGGTGAAAAAAAATACCAATACTGAATACATAACTATTAACTATTAAGAATATGAACTAAACATTTATGAATATTCAAGAGCCAACAAATCGATTAATTAAGATATACTAAGTTATTATAAACAAATCAGCAACCAAGAATCAGAATCATCATTCATGAATGGAATCAATTAATAAAAGTATAAACTAATCAGCTAAAAAATAAGGAAGTAAGGAAGGGGCCGGACTTACCTGAAGAGTCTGAAGGCTGATTGGCAGACTCTTCACCAGAAGGCTGAGGCCTGAGGAATAAGGGATTGAAGAATTTTAGCAGGCAGCAGCGGAAGGCGGCCAAGCGAGAAAATAAGTTGTTACTTGTTAACCTCCTTTGGGCTTTAGTCTGTTTCCGTATTACTTGGGCCTTAGGGTGATTGGGCCGGACAAAATAAGTAATTTAAGACTGCAAAATAAGTTACTCAACCTTTGTGTTCAACACGTAAGTCCAAAGATCTCGAGTGGATATTTTATGTGTGAGTGAATATGTGATCCAACAAGCAAGTAAGATGGGCTACGAAAGTATAAGCAAGTAAAAGGACCGGATATTATTAAAGTCTAATAAACCCTCGGTACAATACGCTTGCTAAGGCCGGAGGCCGTTCGTCTTACACCTCAATAGAAGAGCTGCGAGTAATAAGCTAAGAATAAGCTAGAGTGCTAAGGCAGATAAGTTGTCAACCCTTTACAATGAAATAAATGCTACCATTTATACCACCAATGGGCAGTTGGCTATGCTGGTGTTGAGAGCTGTGAATGATTGGTGCCTCAACCACCAAATCCACAGCATTAAATGCGCTTCCCGTCAGAATTTGGGTTTCCCGCCCAATTTGTGGAGACAAGCGTCTCCCTCAAATTGGGGCGTGCCCTTGGTAATACTGCAAAGGGTTGTGGGTCGTGCGTATCCTAACCCTTGTGTAGAATATGTTGTGTAGCTTTGGATTGGATCCCTCTGGGTCGTGGGCCACATGTGGCGACGTTCGTCTACCTGACCTCGGATTGGAGCCTGCCCTTGTTGCTACTACAAAGGGTTTGAGGCATGATCTATTGTCGTTACGGCTAGACGTTCGTCATGGCACACTGACCTGTTGGGTCTGGACGTTCGTCCTAGGAAAGGCTTAATGGGCCGATCCTCCAATTGAGCCATTAACCCAACACAAGTCCCCCACTTCTGATGTTCCAAGCGTGCGTGGGACATAAGGAAGTAGGAAACTGTTTTTGGTGGGGACGTTCCTGATGTGGGGCTGTCCCTGTCGACTCGTGGCAGGGGATGCTCCTGATGCTGTGTTTTTAGCCGTTGGTGGCGGTCTGCGGAAACCTAGGTGACGGCTGCCGCAGAAACGGTGCAACTTTCGAGGGAAAGCCATCATTACGCATGTTCCTCTCTGCGTGCCTCGAGGGTTTCCCCTATTAGCCCTATGAAATGGTGCTTCCCCTTTATAAATACCAGATCCCCCAAATGGCCTAGGGTTTCGGATTTTTTGCTTTTCGCTCTCAAGCTTCGCGGTTTTGCAAGTCTTCTGCTGCCAAGACTTTTGGTTCGTCCCTGCTTTTTGTAAGGTAATTTGGTTCTTCTCTCTCACTTTCGATCCTTCTTTAATTTCACAATGGCGACCTTGATGGAGATTTCGTCAAGTTTTTGCTCGGGCTCCTCTTCTGGTTCTGGGTCAAGTTCCTCCTCCGACTCTAGGTCTAATTCCCGCTCTTCTGGGGAAACCAACGTTTCTGGCAGTTCTGGCTCTGCGTCCACTGTAGGGACCGTGGTGGCTGATGGTGCCCGCGGTGGTGTTATCCGCCAGGGAGATGCAGTGATAAGCGCCACTTCTACCGGTGCAGTCCACAATGATGATGCCCATCTTGAAGATGGTGGGGGGAACGTCTTACCGGGAAACGAAGCCCAAGATCAAGGCAATCTGTTGATGGACGTAGTCCCCGCCGTCCCTGGTGACGAGCGTCCTCAAGATTATGACCCGGGGACCGAGGCCAGAGATGGGTCCGGTGTAGAGGTCTACGATTGGGGTCTCCCTGTAGATGTGGAACGTCATATCACAACGATAAAAAATGTGATTGGGCATGAACAGTCCTTCTCGGATCAAGCCGGCCTTAATGATCTCAATATCTCATGATCTACTTTCCCCCACCATACGTCTACAGCCTCCGAGGGGCAACCAATATGATGAGGAGATGTCTGGGGATGGTCATGGTGAATCTGGATTCTGTCAATACCGGGCTGCGGTTTCCACTTCACCCATTTTACATAGAATTCTTTCGCTTCTTCCAAGTGGCTCCCGCGCAGTTCGTGCCCAACTCCTATCGATTCATCTCGGCGTTCCTCGTTCGCTGCAAGTCTAAAGGGGTGACTCCGAGCTTGGATTTGTTCCATTATTTTTATCAGCTCACTCCTCAGAACTCTGATGGGTTCTTGAGCATCGCTGCGCGTCCCAAGTGACGGCTCTTTAGTAGCGCCGACCTCAATCCATGACTGGAAAAACTGGTCCTTCTTCCTTCGTTATGAGGACACTCGTCTGCCGCTTTGCTGGAATGGGTATCCCCCAAGATTGGTTCGCCAAGGCTGACAGACGAGCTGGAGAAGCAAGTCAAGAAAGTGGTGGCAGACGGCATTCAGCCCTTGGAGAAATTCCTCACTTTCAAGGCATTTGCCGAGGCAGAGATAGGTACCGCTCGTGTTTATGGATTCCCTATCCCCCCACGTTCGTCCCGGGGCCTCGGGCGGTCCTGTCCTCTGAGGTGAATGCCTTTTGGATCCTCACCGCCCAGTTCTAACTTCGTGTGTTTCTGTTTCAGGTCCTCCCCCCATCGAAGATCAAATGAATAACGAGAAGCTCTTGAGGAACAAGAAAGCCAAGGTCGCGGCCGCTGATGCTGCACTGGAGAAGGCCAAGGCAGCCCAGGCCTCGGAAACCAATTCATCGGCCTCTCAGGCTGAAAAACGCACGGCTAAAGCGGAGCAGCACCTAATTGCTATTGTGATGGCTCAGGGGGTCCGATGCCCCTGTTGTTGATTCGGGTTCCCCCAGCTCGTGGCACCCTTGAAAATCGTTCCCCCACAAAGGTGGGGAAAATGCTAAGTAAAGAGGACGCAGAGGCCTTGCTGTGCTGATTCTTCTGGCCCTCTGACCAAAGAGGTCGTACTGCCATCGCTCGGCCGTCCAGCTGATGATATCTGGAGGGAAATTGCTCTCTGATCTAGGGTGGAGTTGATAGCCCGGTCGTCTTCTGAGGTCACCAGTGCTGCTCTGGCAGCCAATCTTCAGGTACGCCATGGTGCATTTGTTTAGATATTCTATCTCCTTGCAGACATTTGTATCCTCACAGGTCCATGTTTCCTCTCGCAGACTGGGCTGTGTATGCTCCAGGCTGAAGCTGCTAGGGATGCTGACGCCCTACAGGCTAAGAACAAGGCGGAGGCCGACCCGAAGAAGGCCCAGGAAGCCGCTCGTCTTCAGGAGAAGGCAGTTGCCGATAAGGAGGTGCACCTACAAGCTGCACTAGATGCCGCGAGCCGCTACCGAGATCAGGTTGCCGCTTTCGAGAAGGGTGGCTTCAAGCTCGCCTCCATCCCTCCAACTCTTGAGGGTGGTTCGGTTGCCAGCTCTGCTCCCGCCCCCCAAGGTGAGACCTCCACCCCCCAATGGCGTGTCGACACCACTAGGTATGAAAAAACAGGGGACTTTATGATCCCTGCCCAAAGGTACTGCCAGGGGGCATTCGGCGATGTCTCTGTGGCCGAGCTGAAGAGGCAAAAGCCTAAAGACCGCTTGAACTTCGGGATCTATATGCTGGAGCGAACTCCTCTTGCCGAGCAGTTCTTGTATGATGTCGGTGATAGCTCTTTTGCCTTAGGGTTCAATGAGGGGGTGAAGGCCACCCTGCCGATCTTCGCCAAGCTACAGGGCCCCGCTTTCAAGTTGGCCGATCACACGGATGACAAGGAGCTGAAGCAAGCCCTTGGCAAGCTGGAACAGGTGAAGCTCATTAAATGTGTATTTAATGCGCGTACTGTAGCTTTCCCGTTGAGGGGCTTCTAGCCGTTAGGGTATTTTACGTTAGTTTAACCGACTTAGGTAGTAGTGTGGAATTCTCTAAGTATGAGCCCTTCTGTTGGATCTCTAGACAAATACAGTTCAAGAATACCTTGAGTACTTCTGTCCAGCTGAGACAACAAAGGACCCGGGGTCTTCTGTCCAGTCGAATAAACTAATGCTTACACATGGAAATTTCTAATACATTTTTTGAAAAGAGTACTGCTCTAGAAACCTAATTAGTCTAGCATCATCAAAATTTAAATAAAATTTATTCCTTCCAATTTCCCCCTTTTTAATGATGCCAAAGCACTTATTCTACTTTCCATAGATGTGTCATTCACCTTTATTGAAAAGATACAATTTCCTTGTGACGTTTTAATCTTGGTGGGCATCATGCATAAGAAAGCAGTAAGTATTTGAAGAAATGCAATAATAGTAAAACAAATACCCAAGATTTTATTATCTAGAAGCATCAAGACAAGGTACAAACTACTGAGGATTGAATATAAACAAAAAATCTTTGGTCCTCTGTTCTATTCCTCCTTTATTTTCTACTTTGTGCTTCCTTAGTTTCCTTCCCCCTTTTTGGCATCAGCCATGCGAAGGAACAGTAAATGCAATTGTCCGATTGCATTTGGTAGGTTCATGCAGACAGACTGGAGCGCGTCCAGCGAGCTCTGTTGGTGCTAGAGCTTTGTCTCAGTCTCTTTAGAGAGGAGATTAACCTGCTCCATAAATGATAACAAAGACTCGTTACAACACACTAATGCTATTGGCCAACGACCGTTCGTCTGCTTCACAAGTAGAAGAGTTGTGAACACTACTTCAGAGCTGCTATAATGCTATAATGCTAAGGCGGATAAGTTGCCAACCCTTTACAATGAAATAAATGCTACTCTCTCCGTCCCCTTTTAAATGTCCCGTTTTACCATATTGGGACGTTCCTATTTAATTGTCCCATACCTTATTTGTTAAAGTTTGTGTGGCTCAAATTCATTCTTACTTTATTCTTTATCAATTAATATCAACCACACAAACACACTTTTCTTAAAACTCGTGCCACCCTCTTCCGTCCCAATAAAAAAAGGATGGAGGTAGTACTATTTCTACTACCAAGGGGCGGGTGAATATCCTGATGTGGAGAGCTGTGGATGACTGAAGTCTCAACCACCAAATCTCCAGCATTAAATGCGCTTCCCGCCAGGATCTCGGTTTCCCGCCCATTATTTGGAGACGAGCGTCCTCACGAG